CAAGACATTTCTAATATTTTTTTTTATAGTTATTATATATTTATATGTATGATGTACCTGAATTTATCGTAAAAACTATATTAAAAAAATACTCATAATGCTATATAAATTTTTGACAAATGTAATTTTACATTTAAAATTTAAAACTTATAAATAGAAGTCTTATGATAATTAATATATATCAACCCATATACATTATGAAAACATTTTGAATTTCCGAAATTATCGGTTAAAAAGTTTAAATGAATACAAAAACTCTAATAAATTAGATTAGTTAAGCTTAAAATAAACAAAATAAGAAAAATACATAGCCTACATAGCCTAACCTACTTGTGAGTTGTGACTTTAGACCACAGTCCAGAAGATAAGGTCGGACTCTTTGCTTATAATTGTGTCTGCAATCAGAGGACATTTTAGTACTTATTTAATCCGGTATTTTGATAGCACTTCTCTTCCAACTTTCTGTGTTTTACTATTTACCAACTTACCATCGGGCGGTAGCAGTAACCAGGTACAGCCATACAGGTGATATAGATTACTAGAATAATTCCTTAGAACTAATATTTTATTTGTACACATTATATATCATTTCACTGAAATAGCTTATGTATAAGTAAATTATAAAATACAATTTATTTTAAGTGCAGATAGGTACATGTTAGACACTCAAACATACCTAGGTACTATAGGTAGTATACAGATGCGAGTTGAATATTCATAAGCTTGTGATGATCGTCTAAAATAATATTTTATATCAACATTTTATCAGTGAAATTCACTCACGTCTAATTTAAGACATGCATTGTCTATGTTTTTCTTTTTTTTTATGTACCTACATACAAATTTAACTAAGTGATATTTTTCTTGCTTTCTATGTTGTATTATTATTGCATTTACAGAAAATAACAACATTGAATTATAATAAAATTAATCAAAATGCAACACAAAAGAGATGAAAATGTAGAAAATACTGTTATTTGGGCTTAAATGAACAGTATAATTTATGGTGCCTAATTGATTTGTCGTCAGTTACTATTAGTTGGAAGAGGGTAAAAGCGTAAGTAATAAATAGCTGGACGGCAGAATAATCATTTTAAAAGCTTTGACTACAATACAATATTACAATGATATGTAATTGGCTAAACGTAGTTTTAATGTTTTTTTTAAACTAAATTAGAAACGGTTATTCACCGAGATAATATTGCCAAATCCTAAGCGTTTAATCATCCTCCAATTGTTTTACGGTACAGTTACTATTTAGTACATAATATAACTTTGTTGTATCGATATCTTTAATAATTCTCTTAAAAATAAGAGCAGCTGTTGAAACTAAAATTTAAAGTAATATTTATGTTCTTACGAATTATAGACCTTGACCTAATAAAAAATATGTAATTCTATATAGTTGATGAATAACATATTTTATAATACATACATAATTTAAATTAACAATTAGAGCAAATTATTACAATATTCCAATTCTTCACCCACGTAATATTTATAACAATAGTTACTAGAGCGCGTATGCCGACCTTGCAGAAATTTAAAATTAAACTAAAATTGACTTATCCTCGCGGTACTTTTATCAATGATTTATAACCTACTAACTAGTAGGATGTATTAACATATTCAACGGTTGATGTTTCTACTTTTTACCAATAACAAGTATTATTAATTTAATCTATTCCAGATTCTTATTTCGAGTTATCCTCAATAATATACCTATTGGCTATTAGGTATTTAGGTAGGTACCTACTAATAGAATAAACCTATAAAACTCAATACCTACTCCAAAATTTAAGCATTTTGTAGTTTGTTTCCGTTTAAAAAATTTTAAAATATGGTTAGTTATAATACTTATAGGTACCTACATATATACAATATTCATACAAATCATACTTAAACTAATATTCCAATTGTAATGAACATGGGTACTGTTTAACCAATATTACTTCCTTATTAATTCAATAAGTATGATATTATGTTATATACTATATAATATGGACTCAATATAATATTTCAGTTATTACTTATTATCAATACTTGTTCTTAGCTAATTATATTAACTCAATAAATTAATAACAGTATAAAATAAACCAAATCAAAATAATATTGGTTACCTATTACTAACCTACAGATATGAATGTACAATGCTTTCCATACATTCATGCTTTATTAAATATATTCTAAAGGCCTAGTATGGCACGGTGGATGGCCGCAATCACTAACGTGTTCTGAGATCAAGCATGGACCAGCGTCGCTAGCTCCTGGATGGGTGATCACCCTGGTTTTTAGTGACGACTCCTCGCTCCATATACACGTGTTCCAAACCAACCGTACCCTCTCCACAGTTAAAACTAGCTAATAACGATGCAGCTGAAGGCTTGAAAAATATAATAATAATACAAATATATTCTAATGTATTAATACACTATTGCAACAAAAATATAAATTGTATTTTAAATTGTTGAATATGCGTATGTAAATTGTAGTAAATTTAAAACGTGACTCCAACGATTCAAATAATATTTAGAGTGTATTCAAAATAAAACACCAATAAGTCCACGAAAAAAATATTAATTGACTAATTTGATACAAAACGCATTTTATTATTAATTTCATATTACATTTGATTAAAATATATTTTAGTAAAATTAATTGTCATGTTAGGTTCAACAATACATTATAAATTTAGTAATCCAATATAAATACAATCCTATAATACTAGATAATAGCAATCATTTTAACGATTATCAATAAATATATCTAAAATATATTGCAATTCTAATTTGATTAAATATTGATAAGTATTACCTATTATTAATGAATCATGAATATTATAAACATTACCACATGAATATTTGTGTGCGTATGAATAATTTTGTCAGCATATTTTTTGTACAAGTACGAATATCTACTAAAACTTAGAAAGTATGAAAATATGAAATTTAATCATGAGCAAAGTAATCTCTTTTATTAAGGGAACCCATCTAATATCTATTATTATAATGAAATGTTTAAGTTACATCTCAGTTATTTCCACGAGAATGTATGTATTTCATTATTATCCCCAGGTGTTTAACATTTTCAAACCCAGCCCTGAGGCCTGAATACATTAGCAAAACATATACCTAGTAAATCAAATGTATTAATAATAATTAATTTAATATAAAATGTGATGTTTTACCTCTTTGGTTCGTATGTCAGTGTTTTTACTACTTAGAATTTTTACAATTCTAAAAATAAGCTTTAGGATTTTTAACAATAACATAATACGATTTGCGCAAGGTTGGCCCTTGCAACATAGGTAAGATTATTATTATATATGCAATAAAAGTGTTTTATAAGTTCAAATATTACATTTTATGAACACAATTTTAGGAATCTGTTCCACGTCATAAAGTTGCAAGGACTTTTGTATATAATATGAATTCCCACATTTTTTTTGTGCCGTTACACCTAAATCATTTTTTTTTTTTAGAAACAGTTTCTCAAAAGATTCTGAAAAACTGAAAGTTCTTAGAAGATAGAACTCTGTACCCTTTTGTCCAAAAAATCGTTGTTTTTTGGCTACAGAACCTTAAAATACAAAAAAATAAAAATAAATAGTCCCCTCTTGGTCAATAAATTGTTCGTTAAAACTAGGTATTTGTGAGTCACTATAACTATAAACTCCATTAAACATTCTCAACATATTTTATTTCAGTAACAAAAAACCACATAATATATTTACATGAATATTAAAACTTTCTTATGAAAACGTAAAATAAGTATTTAAATTTAAATTTTAAATATACATTGCTGTTTACTTTTCAAATTTGATATAATAGTTCTGTATGTACCAACATATTTTGAATAATATTACCATTATATTACTACAAAAATTCAGTTTATATATAATTATATATATATATATTGAATTTGCAATCAAAAGTCGTTACCTGAAGGTACCTATTATTTAATGGATCATTTTCTGGTTAAAAAAGGGCCATCTCCTTCTCTGTTTTCGGTTAAAATTGTATATGGTTGCAGGTTTCTGATCAAAAACTTGATTATTTGGGCTTAGGTTCCATTTGAATAGTATAATAGTGCTAAGTCCTTCTTGTGTCACTAGAATTAGATACCTACATATAAACATATAAAACAATATAAGTATAAATTATATATAGGTACCATCATAATAATTATTTATAATCAATGGTACTATATAGGTACATAATAAAATTAAATAGTTTAAATTTTGAAATAATTTAAGTACACTCAATTAAAATTTAATTGATTGTCTAATTATATTTAAAACATGGATTAATATTTTAATCTCGTCTCTAAATTTATATTATTATTAAAATCCTTTGTAATCATTAAAATGTTCGAAAAACGTTTAACGATTCGAGGAAAATTATTTTCATTAAAAATCCTTCCACTAAACTGTTAAAAATAAAATATGTGAGTGAGAAATAAAAAAAATTTTAAATTATCCGTGTATTTGATTCAATGATTACTATGTGCATTGACGATGGAAATACTATGACATTTACAAAATGTATATATATATATAAAATGAGCCGGTCTCACATTATATTTATTACTTACGTGTAATAATAGTTACACAAATATGGTGGATTCGCGGAAAACCTAAAACGGTGAAAATTTTTCATCCGGAGGGGATCGGAGGGATGGGAAATATTTCTGTCGATTCTAGGACAATGGTATATAGTGATAATGATAAATACCTATACAGTATACTTCAGTCGTTAACACGATATGGCGTACAACTACGATTTCAATGGAGAGTCGATATGAAATACGCGATGAGATATAAACGCACCGCGTAGGTACCTTATTATAACATAACTTAATAAATAAGATGAGATACGACAAGTAGGGTAATGTTTTTAATTATTATTATTGTGTCAATCGCATTGTGTGGTGTGTATAATTTTCCTGTTTTTTTTCTTCTCATCATCCGGCTCGTTTTTTTTTTTTTCTGTTATTTCCAGGTCGGCCGGCTCGTGTTCATCGTCGGTGTGCCGTCTGCTGGACGACGGCGGAGACAAAACGCCTCCACCGCCGTGCTGGTGTAGCGCGGAAACCGCGGCCGTCCTCGGTGACCCACATAACGACGATATTATGGCCCGAACGACAACCGGTTACCGCTGTCCGCCGCATGGATCGCTGCTTCAACGTCGAGGCACCGTCGCCGCCGCCGTCGCCGTCGAAGGGGGACGACCGCTGCCGCGTTCGCGTCTCGCCGCAGACGTTCAGTCAAACGTACAGCGTCCGACCTCGCGTATCGTGCCGTCTCGTTGTGTCAGTGCGGGTGATTGGTGTTGTGATAACGGAGACGTCGATGTCGACGACGACGACGACGACGACGACGAGGATTACTATTGCGTTTACGAGGACGAAAACCTCCGCCGAGTGGATAACGACGTCGACGTTCGCGATGATAACCGAGTGCGCGCCGTAGTGCTGATGGACAACGGGAGCGGTTTGATAACCGGCGGCGAGGTCGTCGGTGGGACGGCGGACAGCGGTAAGCCTCAGGAGAGGACTTACGCGTCCACGGAAGCGCAGACGGACGAGACGGCGTGCTCGTCCGCGTACAGGGAACAGCGGCGGCGGGAACGACGGGAACGCCGGCTACAACAGCAACGACGCGTCCACCCGCCGCCGCCACCTCCTCCCGCGCTTTCGTCGTCGTCGCTGCTGCCGCCTCCACCGCCGCCGCTTCTGTTGCAGCAGCAGCAGCAGCCCTCGATCGCCGTGTCTGTCGACCCGGACAGGCTGCCCGACCTGTTGCTCAACTCGCACCTTCCGCCGCCGCTGTACACCACCGTCGGCGGCGGCGTGTGCGACGTCGCCATGGCCACCCGGGCGGCCAACTTGCAGGCGTCCCTGTTGCCCGCCCCGTTCCAACACCCTCATCAGCCGCCCGGGGCGCCCGTCGGCTCTGCCGTCAACACGCCCGGTGGATTCCGCCTGCCGTTCGGCATCATACCGGCCAGGAGACGAAGGTCAGTGTTTTGACATACGATTTCATAATGCATTTAACCGCGTTATGCACCTAAAATATTATAATTTGTTATATATAAGCATGAAGCATAATATTATATAGTAATTGTTTATTCAACGTGTGTTCAATGTGTTGAAAACAGAAATATGGCTTGGTGTTAAGATTTGTATATACGGAACCCCTAAATTCGGTAGATAAGGTACATATAATATTATTCGCACGTGCGTTTTGCAGAAGTTTCAGTATGGGTACCGTTTAAAATAGAGGTACTTGTTGAAAACGGTTACAGATAAATAGACACACGTACCGTATACCGTACGGTAGTTATACTAGTTATTAAATAGGTACTAGGTATACTAGATAGGCAGTAGGTAAGTTACGCAAACGCGAGACCAATCGGAACGTTCACGTATCACATTCACATAATATTAAATACCATCTCTCCTGCAGTCTCCTGCAGGTTTGAGATTTTCATCAAACGTCATAATTCATAACGTACGAGATTTTTAAATTTTTGTTGGACAACACGTGCCTATGTTACTCACACTCATAGGTACAAGAAACATAACAATACTATCGGTAATCTAACCTAACCTAACCAGTTACCACGGCTCTACGTCGCTTTCGTCCCTCATCACTACGTTAAATTATAGGGCAGTGGCGTATATGTGAACCATTCTTGGGGAGGGGGGGTTATTAAATACCTCATTTTAAACCATTAAAAATACAAAAGCAAACCGAAATTAACTACCCCTCCCCCCTTCGGGTACGTCAATGTTATAGGGTCGTGTAATGTAAACCTAAATTGTGTAATAGCGAGTACACAATATATAAAAAAATAAGTATTCGAACAAAGACCGCAATGCAAAGATAGGACAAAAGTGTTGCAGCAGCTCACGCTATACATATCATACCTGTTCTCTGCGATAGCTGCACGCCGCAAACACTCCTAGGCGATAGGTATCTACAGCATATATATATTATTACATAGGTAGATACTAATATAATATAATATATACGATCCGTTCGAAAACGTCCCATAAGGACGGGTTCTCGCGGTCGTCCGTATTTATACAATAATAATAATAATTACACTATAGAGCGCAATCAGCTCTAACGACGCGTCATGTATTCGGCGGTTTTACGACCCATTAAAAGAGGATATCATAGAAGTGAAATCCAGGATGTTTGCGTTGTGTATAGATGATACTCTGCATGTGTGTTTTTACGCGACACCCTATTGTTTGCGCGGTGTACAACAATATATAACATGTAGGTAATATAGGTATAGTGTCACGGCCATCACTACAACATGCGTACGAGAGTTTTTTTTATAATAATTGCAATAATAATATTATGCGCGTGTCGTGGTACATAAATATTGTTTTTGAGAAACCTTTCGTTCATTAGCCATCGCATTGTACATTTGTACCTGCGGGTACAGATCGCATTGACGACCGATGAAATATATTCACCAGAGACAACGGATTTCGTATTGTCGAACGATTTGTAACCCTCCCAGTATATGATGTATTATGTGTATGGGACATCTGCAGTACAAATATTATATCATATCATAGTATTATAATAATAATATGTTGCCCAATGTTGTTGTGTCGTCGAAATGTATTGAATAACGCTATTTACGCTCAATAATATTAAGATAGGTAGGTAGGTACCGTATAAAAACAAGTGTTTACTGAAAAGTGGAAAAACTGGATTTTAGTAATTTTAATTAAACCGCGTACGCGCTATTCTTTATCATATTATTATTATACGTAGGTAGGTATAATGATTTTTCCAACGTCAACCAGACAATATCTTGAGCATATTACACAATAGTGCATCTTTTTTAAACTATTAATGACATTAAACTTTAGTATTCAACATTTTTTCATGATCCAATTAATTTAAAATTTATTTTTAAAAAATCGTATAATGACTCTTATCTAAATAAAAAATTAATAATATATCTGGTTCATGATGAAAAAAAAATCACTGTGAATCCGCATTGTAAATGAAACAAAAGTATGTGCTACCATATTATCATATTAATACCTATAAATATTATAATATATATTTTATCAATAACGTAAAGGTCAATTTTTGTGTGCAGTACAAATATTTATTCAATATATATTATGAGAATACGGTTAGTCCAGAGGTCTGATACGGTACCATTTGTATTTTCCCTGCAAGTTATTTCCAATATGTACTGTGTAGGTACAATGTAATAACTAATAATAATGATTTAATTGAATTGTTCACAAAATAATGCACTTTGACGTCTTATATAAATTATGTATAATAATTTAAAACTTTCAAAGTATTTAGGCAATAGTATATACTGTCTTCAAAACAGAAAAAGTTAAGTTTCTAACTACATACCGATGTAATAATTTTAACTACCTAGTTTATCAAATTCTAAATACTGATATTATTATCCTTCGCATTCATATAATTGTAATGTAATTTATACAAGTCAAATTATTTTACTTTATAAATATGAAATGATGGCCATTGCTGTGATATACTGTATTATTATTAATAAATATTAATAATAATTTATTATTATAATTTACAGTGTGATTGAAAAATGTCCCTCTCTCTGTAAATATAATATTTACCAATATATTATTATATAATTTGAATTTTGACTAGACGTGTGTGTATAATATTATAATTATTGTCTATAAGCAAATCTTAATAATCAGCTATCGTGAAGGTCTGATAATCGAATGATAATCGTTTGGATAATATCATGTTTAGTCTCGTGTTTAGTCAAACATTAACAGTATAGAAAAACAAGGCTTGCTCACTGAAAAGTTAAAATATTGAACTTAATAATAATGTCGCGAGCCACCTCATACATAATAATTATTATTTGTTATTTCTCGTTACATTTTACGACTCAACTATATATTATAAATACATATGTGTAGTGTGTGTGGAACGTATGGATATAATATGAGCTCGTGAAGTAATTGACGTAACGCTCATAACTGTACACACATTTATAAAACGTATACGATGTGTAACGATATACATCATCATAATAAATAATAAAATAGTATGATATACAAATGACGATCGTCATATCAGCCGGCGATGATTCCGTTTTCGAAATTTCACATCCGGTACCCAGTTCGCAAAATAAAATACCGACAAAAAACGATATCGTAAACGTGAACGAAAAACACAAAAAAAATAAACAAATGAATACGTTTAACCACACGTCCATAATAATAATATTATATAATATTTTAGTTGTAGGTAGGTACCATGTCGCACGTGAAAACGGTATTACACGTCTACACGTGCGGGAACCGTTTAATAACAATTAACCGTATACACAGTTTTCTTCTTTTCGCGTACGAATGAAATAAATTCATAGCATTATTATCGTCTCCGTTTACTGTTTCTCTCTTATTTTGAAGAAAGCGTGTAGTAGGTACCTGCAATACTCCCTCGATCCGTGCCCGATAAGACGAGATGCAACCGCGGCATCATATTATTATAATCACGATGATAGTCTTCAAGACTTCAACGGATACCAAAGGGTGCGGTGGAGAGGAAGACGTGTCATAATCATCGCGAGGAACGGTATCTACCTATGTGTACAGTATACTATATATATATCATCATCATTATTATTATTATTATTATTATTATTATTATTATTATAAGCGGTGGGCCAGCCGAGACGGTCGTGCGTGAAGCCGAGATCCGTCGGCCATGTTTTCACTTGTAATCTCTGATTGAACTCTATAAAGCACTCGGCGGCGGACCATATAGCAAATGATTTCGACTATTTATCTCATAGACTATAGTTTTAAAAAAAAAAATTGAAAAAAATTGTGGCCTATTAGGTAAGCGCGACCGCCGTTGTAGTTGCAGAGTACTGTTTCGATAAAAATTGTAATAAAAAACAGGAAAAAATAGTAGTATAATGTAGTATATATTATAGAATTTCCATAATATATTATAACAATGTCAATAATAAATTATTCAGGAGGAAAAATGTTTTATACTTCGCAATTTGTATATTTCTACGTACCTATATGCACATTATACATACTACCTAATTAATAACTTATAGGTTGTACGCAGTATAATAAATTATTTACGGTAGATCATATGAATTATATGAATTAAATATGAATTCATGTTGTAAAAATTGTGAGGAATTCATACTATTATTCAGCCTATACAAACTGTAGTCAGACAATCATGAATATTTAAAAAAAAAATGGAAGGCAGTAGTATAATATTTTAATATTTGGACTTTTTGGAATTTCATTTTTACCATTTTTCCTATTACGGTAAATTAATTTCTTTCGCTGAATTTTTCGTAACACAAAATAGATAGTTTAAAACAAATGTGAGGAATACACTACAGAATAGGTAATTTAAAAACATAATTAATTATAAAATGTTATTGACGATGGAAAATATGGTAAGACGCTATAATAGAGGTAGAGCAGTAGGTACACACCCGTACAGTGCATCTATGCAGGTACGCGTAACTACGTAAGTACGAAAAAAAAACAGCTTGCACTGTACACCTGCAAGTAAACATTTTAACGGTTTAAAAAATAAAGTCCGCTGTCGTATAATTTGTGGTGTACCTATATATTATGTTCAAATCTGTTGGTTAAAAAACAATGTAAAAAACAAATATCCAAAAACCAGGAGAATACACAAGTGTTATCGATATATGATGCTAATATTCTCCTTTCATTCCTCGCCCGTCAATGAGTTTGCATATTCTTCATCCTATCCATATGTATAATAATTATGTATAATAATTATGTATTTTGCCCACCGGCAATACAATACGTATGTATTGTGAGTGTCACGTTCGCACTATATACTACACTGTCTGATGAAGTGTAAATGGATCAGATTAAGTCTCGGGTGTATATTGTAATAATAGTAAAGCACTAAACGCTATGGGTTTATGGAATTAGGTTGGGTAATGACATAAATCTAGTATTCCGGATTGCGAAAATTA